TTGCGCGGAGTGAGGGTTCTCCACCCCGCCCAACATGATCCACTCGACCACCATTATGGTTACCGCTAAAAAAAAAAACAGAGGTAAAAAAAAAATATCGGTAACCTGGTTGCCGAGCTCACGAAGTGAAAAGGCTTGTTTTACAACGTCGTTGCCAAGGGACGAAAACCCAACCCCGATGGCGAACACCGGGGGGGGGTGCCGGGGGAGGGTAATCCCCCGCCCGGACCCCTCCCCGCGTTGCGATGCTTGGATCACCTCACGCGTGGTTTGCTTGGTCCACCCAAGGGTGCCAGGGGGGGGGCAAGCTCCCCCCCCGGACCCTCCCCCGCACGATGCTACCCCAGAGCAGCGCCTGCAAATTGCCGAAGGTTCTCCTTCTGCTCTAATGATTTACTTCAAAAGGCCAACTGACGAAGCCTTCACACCGCAGACGCTACTAGACTGCTACGAAAAAAACACCGTTACCAAACCCAAAAAGCGACAAGGAAAGCCTACATCCGCGCCTCCCGGGAGGTTCTTAGACTCCTACGGCAATATAATATCATGTAGATCTGAGAATAACCAGCACGTGTGTCGAATCGTCTTCCAGAGCCCTGCGGTTGGGGACTTATTTTACCTGCGTCTACTGTTTGTTGCACACAATTCCGGGAAGACCTTTCAACGACCTGCTTCTGGTGCCTCAACCTGACTCCGCTCCATTTCAACATGCGACCTTCCATGACGCGGCGAGAGCGAGAGGATTAGTGACTGGTGACGAGGAATACACCATTTGCANACTAGTTTGATCGAAGATTTTGTCCTCATCATGACGCAAGAAGAATCGGTCCGAGAAGCTCTTCGCGAAATTGATTTGAAGCTTCAATTGCACGGGAAAACCAATGAGCAAGTCAACCTTCCTGCGGCTCAGCACTCAAGGACAAAATACGAAAGAATGAGAGACTCTTTTGACGTTCACACGTGCAGACAACACGCAGAAATTCACGAGAGAAATCTTACTGCGGAACAGCATCACGTTTACAAGACCGTTATAGACTCTGTCAACAACGGAGAGGGAAAACCTTACATGATTGATGCACCAGCTGGCACAGGAAAGACATCCACGGAGGAATGCCTAGCTGCGAAACTAAGAGGCGATGGAAAAACAGTTTTAATTGTCGCCTCGACTGGAATCGCGGCCTTGCAGCTACCGGGAGGTTGGACAGCCCACTCAATGTTTAAACTCCCAATGGACGAAAACACGTCTCCTTCATGCGTCTGTAACATAAACGCCCAAACACAAAGGGCTGAGTTGATACGCCACGCTGACCTCATCATTTGGGATGAACTACCGATGACTCATCGTTACTGCGTTGAGGCTCTAGACAGAACCCTCAAGGACCTCATCCGAAACGACTTACTTTTCGGTGGTAAAGCCATCCTTTTCTCAGGTGATTGGAAACAGACTGGAGCTATCGTACAGTTTGGATCTCCCACAGACACCGTTGACGCCGCCGTCATTTCCAGCTCTATGGAACAATATTTGTCGCCTCCGGCTTACCATATCTCAAAGAGATGAGGACGACCCAGCATACGCCTCTTTTGTCCGAAACGTTGGTGACGACAGGTTGCCATCCACAGCCATGCCTGATGGAACCAACCTTATCCCCCTCAATAACCACTCCACAGATCGTCCTGACCAATTCCAACTGCAATATACGACAGATTTCAATGAATTGGTACGTTTCGTCTACCCTGACATGTCCGAGGACGCAACCACATGGAGCGACCGTGCCATCTTAGCCACTACAAACAACGCTATTGATCGATCAAACCAAATCATATCTGACGAACGTCCGGGACGTTCTGTATCGTTTTACAGCTCAGATTCCCTCATCAAGGACGCAAACTCTGCACCCACAGCTTTTGCTGCGCCTGAACATCTGAATCAACTTAACGTCTCAGGTGTACCTCCTCATGAGCTCAAACTCAAGTCAAACGGCCTCGCCATGATTGTTCGAAACCTCAACTTTTCTGAGGGCTTGCTTGGTGAATGTCAAAAATGCACATTGAAAGCAGTGTCATAAAACAGTCGTGTCATTCAAGTCGACCTTCTTACCGACGAGCTCCCTCGGCCCATAGTTTTGATCCCGAGAATAAATTTCCCTGCACAGGTTGGAAGAAATGGCATAAACTTCATGCGTGTTCAGTTTCGTCTCCGAACTGCTTACGCCATGACTATTAACAAGAAGAGCCAAGGACAAACACCAAAAAAGAGAATTGGACTAGATCTGCGTTCTTCATCCTTTGCCAACGGTCAACTGTACGTTGCCTTAACTCGAGCTCAGAAACGATCCACGGTCAAGGTGCTTCTGCCCCATCCTCAAGTCGTGAATGGAGTCCCATACACTGAAAATGTTGTTGTGTACCCTCCTTTCATGGAAGCCGCCACGGGCGTCACCGACAGCATTCTTCCCAACTCCTCTTTACCTGCTGCTCCTTCCGCTACGCAACCTGCTCCGCCACCTCCACCTGCTCCTACACCATACTGGGGAGTCCAACGTAAACTGGGAGGTGGCAACTGCGGCTTCAGGGCCATCGCCCGGCGTGTCTTAGGCGACCCTCACCTGCACCTTCATAGTTGAGCTCAAATTGTGCAATACATATCTGCGAAGAAGGTGTACCGATTCAGGTAAAAGTCAATCGACGAATACCCTGCGAATCGCGTCCTCCTTAACACTCTCCACCCACAGAATTTACCCTCAACTGGGAACCCAGAATTTACCCTCAACTGGGAACCTTGAGGGAACCTCTTGTGGCCAGGATGGGTAATTCGATGGAAGTGTCACAAGATTCTGTGTAGGATGTCCACCCACAGAATTTACCCTCAACTGGGAACCCAGGATTTACCCTCAACTGGGAACCTTGAGGGAACCTCTTGTGGCCAGGATGGGTAATTCGATGGAAGTGTCACAAGGTTCTGTGTAGGATGGACTCCAAGAGGTGTTATCAGGACTGACACACATTGTGTCCTTGGGAAAATATTTAAGTCAGGAGAAAAAGTGTGCGGCCAAGGAAATTCGAACCAGTACCCAGCTGACGCCACATGCGAAGGTGTATCGATTCAGGTAAAAGTCAATCGACGGATACCCTGCGAATCGGGTCCTCCTTAACATATGTAACAAGAGACATAACATTAATCTACATATTTATGACGGCATTCAATCTGAACTGCTTTATGGTGCAGGCGTTCACCCGTTTCAATACTTTTCCTATGACGACTACGTCACGAAGATGTCAATGCCTAACACATATATGGGTCAGCCTGAAATAACAGCCGCATTTGAAATATTCGACATACCCATACATGTACACTTCAACGCTTCAACCTTACCTTTGCCTCAAAACGCGCTGCTAAACGAACTTCATCTGAGATTCACGGCCAACAGTAGTCGTCACTACGACACCTTCTTACTAATGCCACCTGCGCCCTCCTTGCCCCAAATTTAACCAGGATGGACCCTACATCTGCACAAGGCTCGCCTTTGACCTACGAAGGAATGATCGTCGCGTCCGCGGACCACGACGACTAGCACCAATACAATGAACTTCTCCTCCTTCGCGACTACGAAGAAGAACAGGCTCAATTTCAAATCTACTGCCAACATCTGTGGAGTTGGTTTCAAAATATGTCATCACGGGCACCTTTTTGCTAGACCACCACCTTTCTTTTTTGGTGCAATGCTGGAATAGTGGGGAGGGAGTCCTAATCTTTTAGCTGGCTCTCTAACTATAGCTATACATCGTGTATAGCGCCACGGTATATGTTGCGAGATTTGCAAGGGTCGGCAATATACTATGTTAAACAGTGCAAAGTAAGCATTAGATGTAACAACAGTAACAGCTACAACTACACGTAGCCGTCGGTGATTGTGCGTTTTATAACTTATTCATGATTGAAGACATTGCATCATAGTTTTGTCTTTACCTGTCGAATTGTGCGGGTGCACGATCGTCTGCTGCGCACAACGACTACATCAAAACTCTTTCCGGGACTGTCCAGAACATGCCTTCAGAATACTTATCATCTGCTTTCTTTGCGGCATTCCTCCGGTGCCATCGCTGCAGCTTTCTTTGCACAAACTGTTGCTGCATGGTCGGCGCCTCACCTTCATGTGCAAGCTTTATGGCAACATGCTACGCGACGTTCATGTTTATCCACCACTTGGTATTACCGCATCCCCTTCAACAACTACACCTACCTCTATTTCTAGTCTCTACTGAGGACGGGGAGGCCGTTGGCCTCCGCGTCCGGGGCCCTTGTATAATAGGGACTCACGAAGGGGTGAGGGCTACTCGCGGGGTGACTGGTGGGCGGTTAGTTGCAGATCAGCGGCGAGGAGAATCCTTTGAAAATAGTACTGGTGGTGCGGAGATGGGGGGAGTGTACTGTTTTAATTATTGCGCGTCTAACGGTGGACTACTAGTCAACGAACTATAAAAAATCGGGCTTACAGATGCCGGCACTCTTGAAGCTTTTTTCTTTATTGCCGCGAATGTCCGATAAATCGGTGTGTCGTGTACTCTGTGGACACCGGCTGGTACATATCACAGGTGGCCAATGGGCACGGTTACGGGGGGGTTAAAGTGATCTGTAATCCCTAGGCGTTGTGCAATCTGCGTAACCCGGTCGGGAGCACCGTTGCCAACCTCCAAGGTCAGGCAGGCTTCGGAAACGCCGGCCCAAACCCAGTTAAGGGACATTTATATCTGTGCTTGGTTGCAGGCGAGGTTGCCGAAGCCCGAGAATGTCCATGCATTGCCGCGAAAACTATGTACCAGCCGGTGTCCACCGAGCACACACGCAAATTTATCAGAAATTTATTGTCATTCGCGGTAAAAAAACAACTCAGCTACAGCATACTTCGTCATAAATCGGACGCCAAAACTAACACTGCCATCATCATGAGCCTTCGGCGTCGGGTTGCATGAGATAAACATACTTCGTAGAACGCAATTCCTTCAGAACGGCCCACACGAGGGCGCGGCGACCCCAACCGCCAACGAAACGAAGCTATAAGCTCCATTCCAAGGATGTGATCCTCAGTACAACGCAACCCAAGGCATGCTTTACGCGGCCAAGGTGAGGACACCAAGTGAGAAAGGCCGCCACAGATACGACTCGCGTTCTACTCCTTCGACAATGGTACAAGTTAAACCCCTCACATCCCCACACACAAAAAAAAAAACTCCAAACATTCAAAACAAGCGGAGAGAGGACTATCAAGTTGTGTTCGCTCTCGGTGACTCCTCCAATACTGCCCCGCCCTCTTTCTTCTCGCGGAATTAGCCGGAAGGACCTGAGGGCAGCGGAAGGGTTCGCATATAAGAGAGGGATTAGGTTTGTTGCAATCATGGCGAGAAATCAAATTTGAGATGGGACACGTCGGGAAAATACCGCCAAAAGACTGCACATCAAATATTGCGAGGAACAAAAGATGGGAAAAAAAAGGTGGATGGGGAAAAAAGATGGCGCCAAGGAGAATCGAATCCATGACCTTGCAGATTCAGCAAATGCTTTGTGAATGAGATAAGTACCGCAGCGCGGAATGTCAATTTTGAGCAGAACTTTATTCTTTGACTTTAACTGTACGTGTATGTGCGACAAGGCCCTTCATTGCCAGAGGTAGCGGGTTCGGTTCCCCTCAGCGCCACCTTTTTTTCCAATGTTTTCTCCGATTTCTTTTCCCGATTGGAAGAGCAATATCCTGCAGTAACGGCAGTTCGAAGTATTTTCCCGACGTGTACCCTAGGATATTCAGCCGTTGCACTCCTACGTGGGCAATCTTGGGCCAACAAGTTATATTTTCAGGCCCGCTTGCACAGCATGCCAGAAATACGAGAAAAAAGGAGCAACTGGGTCACACGTCAGAACTCACATTATAGTCGATGGAATCGCGCCCTGGACTGTGGATAGTACTTGTTCAGCAGGTATGTTGAAATCCCCAGTAGTTTGCACCGCCACTGCCGCTTGCTCTCGTGTACCAGACCACAGGCCGAGTCGCCAGATGTGGGACACACATGCATCATATGGACTACACGCCGAATGGCTGGGGTGGGGTAGAAGGTTAGGGTGTGACGCATCTTGAACTCGGCCAACCCTGTTGTGTGATGGAGCTGCAAGTTGTTACCCAATCCGGTGGTCACGCACTCAAACACGGCCATCCAGATGGTGTATTCCCCTTCAGGGATAATGTTGCTTTCGCCGTCTCGCCGCCAAGGGTTGCCCTGGTGCTCAAAGAATGAGGCGACCTTGCCCAAAGTCGTTTGCCCTAGCCCATATCGTCCTTCCCGCTGATCCTTGGTCGTGAGATAAATCTCCACGTCACTGCCCCTTGATGCAGTGGACCGCGTTCACCCAGAATGACGACCGGCGTCCTTCACCGACACCCTCGGACGGTTCCCGTACCTGCACTTGCTTCCTCCGGTGCACCGCCCGAGTGGTTGAAAACCTCCACGCTATTATACACAAGACCGTCTTTGTAGGTCCTGTTTCTCCAGCAGTACGAGCACGTCCGGGGGTTAGCGTGGCGCCTCTCCGTCAATCCGCCCGCACCCAAAATAATCGGCGTAGCGTTGGTCAAGCTCCTGCGGCGACGGGAGCATTTTGGACACCTCCTCCTGCCATGTCTGAAGTTTGATGCCCGCGTCCACGCCCTTGAGGCCGGCCGTCCACTGTTGATACCCGTGAGGCCGCCCTCCTTGATGCCCGGTGGTCGTGCCATCTTCCACCGAAGCTGGGCTCAGTTGCATCGCCGGCAACAAGGCGAAAACATCCTGGAGGACTTCCCGTCAGAGCGGCCCGGCTGTCAACTCCTTTCGAACCTCCTTTCCGTTCTCGAAACCACACGCATCCCACGTGACGCCGTCGGACAGTGACTTCAGAGTTGGTTGTCGTTCCAGTTCTTCATGATGTGTACCTCGTTGTCCCCAGCCCGAAGACATGCGTCACGTCGTGACTTCTTGAGGCCCTTATGGTTGAATTCGCCCGCGTTTGCGTTCCCCACTGCACCTGTTGTTGAGAACGACAAAGAAGGGCGGCAGGGTAGGAGACATCCGCATTGAGTTGGGTTAGGGTCGGAACATGGTCTGAATTGGACCACAGGGTAAGGAGGGCGAGCCCCCGGCGACCAGACGAAATTAGTTGGTTCGTCCATGCTGGGGAGCAGGTGCACTACGCCGGTGGCCACCCTAAGGCGTGAAACTCACCGAGGTTTCGGATATCATCAGCGATGTGTAAGCCCTTGTGGATGGAGTTAAGCGCCAGTCCCGCCACGCGCGATGCTTGTTTGACCTGGGTAATGGTTCGAAGGGCAAACATCACCATAAACGTACAAACATGTTGCTTGCACAGCAGCATCGCCGAACACGCGTGCCCGGCAACAAAACAGTGAAGCATGGTGTGGGGCGACCGAGGCACGAACGAGATTTGCCTATATTCTGCGCGTATTTGAGTTGTGGATTTGTTGAATAGACTCCCTTACGGAGTGATCTCGGGGCTACAGTGCCGGAAAGTGCAAGGTCGATTGTAGGGGTCCGGACAATAAAAACAAATCCTACACCATAGAGTTGAGAGCGAGACCAAAAATCACCATGCGAAAGCTCTCGTCAGCGACCACACGGACACCAGCTGTTCTGAGGTTCACCCACGGAAAATATGGGCTCCTCAGCGCCTCGGGGGCTAAACGAAGGTTCTGGCCGTCCACTACTTCAGCCCCCACGTATTCGTTTATAAGGGTGTGCACATTGTCCAAATCCAGCTCACGCGCGCGAGCGTCACCCTCGCCAGCCGCAGATGAGTCGCCCGAACCGGCAGGCCCGCCTCCTTCGTGATGGGGGTCGTCGTTGCCACAGCCGAAATCATCGTCGTTGCCGCCGACTGTGCGAAGTGATTGTAGGGTGGGGAATAGCAGGGTATAAGGTGCGGGGCTTGTAAGGGTTGGGTACCGGCGTACTACAAGGGTGTTTAGTTTCAGTTGGCGGGCCGTGCGGGCATCCGACCCTCTCGTACCGCGACAAGGCGAAACGAAGGGGGCAATTCAAGTGCGGGGTCGCTCTCCTTGCGCATGTTCGTATCGGCACAAGAGCACCGACGTTCTGGCGGAGCTCAACTAAAATTGATCCGGCCTCGCATGAAGAAAATGCGGCGTAAGAAACCCCCCCGTCTCTACGGTACTGTCGGCATGTTCTCAAGCACGAGGAGACGGTCAACCCCACCCGATTCTGAACTTGTCACTTGCAAACATGGGACTCCTCTCCCACAAGTGTTCTCCGCGCTGTGGCTGACTTTGGTAATCCATGCCCGAGAGATGTTGGGAGATGTGTCCTCGTGTAGTGATAAGTAAACGGCATTTATGCTCAAGAGTTTGCGTCATTCGTCCCTTTGCACAGCGCCACCAACTACCCAAGAAGCACCTGTGCCAGTGCATCGAGCAGTTTCGCTTAAAAAAAACCCAAC